GAGCGTGTAGAGAGAGTAACTTGCAGATTGTCAAAAACTTTGAAGACTGGTAGCGTTGTTGCAGCAGGCGTGGGAGGAAGAATCAACTCAAGTTATGTTTTGAACAAGCAAACACAAATTGTTTTATGCCTAGTCTATTCTAACCTTTCCTATCCTGTTCTACTTTTCCTGTTTCAGTTTACGCAGCGCGAGCACATATTGAATTTCCCTCTAATTTCTTTCCTGACCTGGCAAGCGCGTCGACGGAACATTTTGAAGTTCGTGCGTCAACAAACTCGACGATGGCGATCCGAGAAATATTATTCGCGCTCAATCCGAACGGTTGCGATGAGGCCCGTTCGAAAGTTGGTCGCGAGCTCTCGCTTTCAACGAACTGTGACTCGCCACATGTGCCTCTCGGTGTCGAGGCGTGAACGTCCTTTTGATCCGAACTGTCAGTGCTGTTCAGAACAGAACTTATTCGAGCATCTCGCTGGTTTCGCCACCAGCACTAAAAACGATTCGCGAGCAGGTAACACTCGCGCTACTCTCCACGTGGCATGAGCAGTTGCCCACTCAAACACTTGAGAGCAACTGCCAACTCGATCACCAGCCAATCCAAACACCCGAAATGTAGCAGCGCGAGTAGCTGCTCTCTAAGCGATGAACGCTTCGCATGAACAGCAGCCAATCACAGCTGCAGAAACAATAATGCAGCGCAAACAGCTTCTGACTCCTCTTGATCAGTTTGCTGCTTACTCAAAGTCAAACTTCCGTTTTGAACAACAACCCCTCCCATTGGTCAATGTTCATTTCGCCCCTCCAACTCAAAACACCACGTTTTTTTATCCGCGCCTTGCTCCCATTGGTCGAAATCAAGAGGCTGAACCGAATTTCGCCTCTCCTGCTCATAACACCACATTCTCCTCCGTGCTTCACTCCGATTGGTCGATTCCACACCCAGCTTCTAGGGATTTGCCTTTTGCCTCAGCTGCCATTTATATTTCTTGATAATAGCCAGTAGGTTGACCAAAGAATATATGAATTCTTTATTGTACCCAACAAGCAAATACATCGTCACATGCATAGCGGAGGTGCGATCGTCACAAGCTACCTTGCCACCAACTAAAGCGTCATTTTGGATGCTGGACAGTGGATGTAGCCAGCACATGAGTTCGAATACTTGTTGGTTTGAGGAGTTACACGTGTTGGACGAACTTGTTTATGTGGAGCTCGCTGATGGGAGCGAGCTGAGCAGCACGATGACGGGAACGACCAGAGCAACGGCACCTGATGGGACAACCGTTCGGTACACTGACGTCCTCTACGTACCTGGCTTGAAGAGTAACCTGCTCTCCAATTCTCAGCTGCTGAAAACGGGAGCGCATTTCAATACTATTGCCAATGGAGACACGAAGGTCACCATGACTGATGGAGAGGAGTATGTGCGGCTTGGACTTGGCAAGAACGTGGATGGAGTGCTCGTGGTGCAACATGAGCATGCACTTACATCTGCATGTGATCTTGGTCAGTCCCATGATGATGCGTCATCAAAGAAGCATGGTCGTGAAGGGGTTACACTTTCCCGCACACCTGGTGTGCACTTGGACGCACATGGGAGCACGGTTTTCCGCACACCTGGGATGCACTTGATGTCGAAATATGTTATTCATATTTATATAATTGTCTGTAGTGTTAGTGTAGTTATGTTTCCCATTTGGTGGTGCACCTCATTACCCTAGTTCTTGCCTATATCTTTGTACCTTTGCTCTTTATTGAACCCTCTTTCACTCTCGACTTTTCCTAAACTTACTCGAACTCAACTTCTCCTACCTCTCTAGCCATGGCTCCTTAGCCTTGCTAGATATTCTTCACACTTGACTGGCCAGTCTGCACATGCGTCTGTCACATACCGCATGGCACACAACGCTTGCATCGTGCGGAAGCAGGCACATGATGATACCACAGATGAAGTCTCACCCCAAAGTGTGGTGTGGACTTCAAGGGGAGAAGGACAAAGGTCCGTGGTGGATTCGGGAGGAGATGGAGCAGACCTTGTAGAACATGACTCATCTGGAGCTGATGAAGCTGATGCAATCCAAGGAAGTGGAAATGCTACAGCAGATGACTTACCTGCAGCAGGAGTGATTGTACTAGAGGAGGTTGAAGACAATGATGCGGAAAACGCCGTGGGATGTGGAACAACGGGCGTACCATCTGCTGATGATCGCCAAGTCAAGGAGTCTGGAGTTGTACTCACGTGTGCGGCCTCCTCGAGCTGTGCTGCACAACATGGCACCACCTAACTACACTCTCACGCATGTGCTTGTAGCTGTGTATGCGGATGTCTACAAGCACATGTGTGGGAGGAGTTGGGGTGTGGAGTGTATTTGGTGGCACACGAGTGGGATATGGAGTCAAGGAGCATAAGAGGAAGACCTACTCACCAAGGGTTGCCAATAGGCAGGGGGAGAAGGCAGAAAGGATGCAGCCGATCAGCGTCATCCGTCGTGATGAAGCGGTATTGTGCAATTGGTTGCTGCAGATGAACGGCACCATCTGAGGGAATGATGGAGAACATACATGGGAACACGCATTACTGCATACCTAGTGTGCGCGTTTCTCCATACTTGGTATGCACATCTCGGCATACTTGGTGTGCACTGCACACATGGAGTGGACATTTCTGCATATATGGAGTGCAGATTTCAGGGATACTTGGAGTTTGTCGGCATGCGCAACCCTCCAGCTGATGGAGTTCGACAACTTCGGCTGCAACCGTGTGTCTGCTGGAGTGTATGGGGAGCATCACAGGGCAACATGGGTGAAGTTTGAGCAAACTTGGCAAGATTGCCAAAGCATGGGGAGAAAGGCTTACGAAGATGCAGCAAGGGCGGACAGGCAAATGATGCAGTAGGCGCGCAGCAGATCGTCAGCCGCTGAAGAACGCAAGGTTGTCGCTTCTATCGCGCGAAGTGTGTGCCCGCCAATGCAGTTCCGCGCCAGCCATACGTCATGCGTTATCCGCTACCGATTCGCGTCATCCGCAACCCTGATTGTCGCAAACGCGCGTCAAGTGTAGTCGTCGCGTCATCGCGCAGTAGGCGTGCGATAAAGCTTACGGTTTCGGAAATTCTGCGTGCGCTAAGGGCATTCCGTCACGACGATACACGCATTCCGCCATGGTTTTGAGGAGATTTCGCCATGGAGCTTCTACGAGTTCCTCAGCAGCAGCCACTACTCTCTGGATCTCGATCTAGAATGTCGAGATTGGAAGGAGGGATTGGAAAACGTGAAGGAATGTGGTTTGGTTTAAGTTTGGAAGGCCCAAAGGTTGGGAGGGGAAAGGTGATACAGTGACAAGCAGCTTGGCCAACACCAAACCCTAGCTTGGTTTGGGCGCACCCCTACCTTGTGGTGGTACACCACCTCGACCACCCTATCCTCCAAGGAAAACGGATTCACCAAAACCTACAGCAAGGGGGAGTGTTGGAAATCCGAATATAGTATAGCGAATACTGTATACTGGTGTGCTGTTTGGTTTTAGTGTAGTCCCCTCTATAAGCCTCCAAGGCCTACAATAATTGTCACAATTATTGTAGGGCCAGAATAATTGGAAGTCAGCATTATTGGAGGGTAGAGGGTACAATTATTGATACACCATTATTGGTGTGAATGGGTCATTCTGGAGGGGAAGCTGGATGCATATATACCTTGCTGTGTCACTTCTTCATCATCATTGAGTAATCATTGTGTCATCATTCTACTTTTCAATGATCAATGCAAGATTTTTATCTTCTTTTCTACAAACACGTTTCTGCTACGCTGGCACTATGCCTTTCTATCATTCTAAACATAGTATAAGATGATGATAAGATTTGAGGCCTAAGATATGGATATAATTTTGGACCGTGTATTTGAATGTTCTCATGTACGGTAAATGAAGTGTGTCGTTTTTGGAATCCTAAAAAGGTGCACGAAAGCAAGTCTACGGTGACAAAGGCACGTCACACACAAATATTCCTTGGACTAGGGCGCAAAATATTTGGGTTAAATGCCCTTTCTACCCTTTCTAGAGGCTGCTTTTCTTTACTTCCCTTTTTCCAACAGTGTGAATGTTTAGTTGCCCTTCATCTGAAAGTGTGGTCTTTTATATGTTTACACTTGGAAAAAACATGTTATGTGTTATTTTTTTTCCTATACTGGGTCCAAAAAAAAGGTTACGGTACATTGATACCGGATCTATTTTAGCGACGATTGTCAGAACCATATTGTAGGCTGTAGTGGGGCACTCTTTATGGGGTACAGTATTGTTAGGTTTTGCCTATACAAACCTTGTACTGCCCTGTTTCTAGTCATTCCTCGCTCTTATTCTCACATGGTATTAGAGCAGAATCGTTCCTAGGGCCCACTGAACGTTCCGCCCTGCCCTAACTGAATTTTTTTCTTTAGCTGCCCCTTCAGCCGCACTGCCCTTGCAGCCCACGTGGTGCCCCTGCGACCATGCTGCCCCTGCAGCCCGTGGGCGCTGCCCTTGCAGCCGTGCCTGCCTTTGCAGCCTGTGGGCGCTACCTCTGCAGCCCGCGCGCCGCCCTGTCGGGCCGCGTGTCGCCCCTGCAGCCCGTGGGAGCTGCCTCTGCAGCCCGCGCGCCGCCCTCCCGAGCCGCGCGTAGCCCATGCAGTCCGTGAGCGCTGCCCCTGCGACCCGCGCGCCGCCCTACCGAACCGCGCGTCGCTCCTGCTCGTCTCGACGCCCCTGCGGGACCCGCGCGGCGTCCCCCCCCCCTGCTCGTCGCGACACCCCCTGGACGCCGCCCCTACTCGTCGCGGCGCCCCCGGGGCGTCGCCCTTACTCGTCACGGCGCCTACTGGGCGCCGATCAGTTGCGCGAGGCGGCAGAAGCATTGGAGTGGTTTGGCGAACTATCACGCCTGCGCATCAACCGAGACAAATCAATCGTCATGCCACTAGGAAGGAACAAAGGCAAGACGTCGCTGCCGGGGATTACCTTCAAATGGGCGATGGAGGGGGTCCCTGAACGGATACTGGGGGTGTGGGTGACTCCGAACGGAGACGCATCGCCGTCCTGGGAGAAGGCTTGGGAGAGGGGGAGAAGAGAGTTGGTTAAGTGGGAGAGCAAACATTTGCTAACGGCATCGAGGGTGACGGTGATCAACAGCTACATCATGCCGATTTTCTTGTTCCAGGCGCAGATCTACCCGCCGCCGGAAGAGCTCTGGGGGAAGATACGGAAAACATGCGATAATTATGTCTCGAAGGGAGAAGTGACTGCGGAGAAGATTTTCGTTCTCTGGAGTGGCAAACTCACTCGTCTGCCGAAGAAGAAGGGAGGTTTGGGGCTGATCGACCCGAAGGAACGACTGGACAGCCTGGTGATACGTCAGGTGGGGAAGTTCCTGACGGAGCAAGACACTACCAAGCGATGGCTGACGGAAAAGGCGGCGGCGATGCCGCAAGGGGTCGCGTCGCTTTTCGCTCACAAGTCTGCGGGCAAGCACTGGGAGAAGGGGAGCCAGAGGTGGAAAGCGATAGCTGAAGTTTTTTGGGAGTCCCCTTTCGCCGACCTGCCGGCGCCCTCCAGCAGCTGGGAGGTGGAGCGGGAGCTGCTCTGTTTCAACCGCCACATCATGTACCGCGGGGGGAGCCCGTTCGGGAATCAGAAGGGAACGTCGGGCATCCTGAAGACCAGAATGGGAGACCTGCTCACAATAAAAGAGGACGGGAGCAGAGACATCAAAGATGTCAAAATGTTGGCAAGGGAGTTCGGAAGCGTGGTACCGGCCCGATGGGCGGAAAAGGCGTTCGAAGCAGCCCCGGCGGAGTGGAAAGCACTGCTGAGGGCGCCCAGAACAGCGGAAGCGGTTGTGGCGGCCGCAAAAGTGGTGCGCACGGTCCTGGCTCGCACGCAGGAGTTCCTGTACTGGACAGTAAAAGAGGCTAAAGACGGAGAAGTCGTAATGGAAGACATTCGGTGCTCGGACGGCCTGAACCTGGTAGTGCCGCCGAGGCCAGTGGTGGCTGCTTTCTCCGCCAAGAGGACGGAGCCGGTAGCGATAAAAGGAGGGACAGTGCTCGGGGCGATGGGCGAGCCGAGGGCGAAGTTGTGTCAGACCCTGCTGGTGGGAGATAACATGAGACCGGCGGCACCTAGGGAGATCAGAAGAGTATTAGCGGGGCCGGCGGGGACGTCAAGACGCAGACATGAGTGGGACGAGGAGCTAGGCAGGAAAATTGATTGGAAAGCAGTAAGGGAGAGGAGGGACTCCTTGGCGATCCCCTACAGGGCGAGGGATGTGGTGTTGAGGATGCACAGCAAAAACCTGCAGGTGGGGGGGAGGCTGGTCTGCCTGGGCTCCAGAGGAAACTATCCGCACTCTGGAGGCCCACAAACCCTGGACCACTACATGCGTACCTGTCCAGTCATTCAGCCGGTGATCGGAGCTCTCTTGTGCTCTCTGGAAATGATTAACCCGACGGACCGGACAAGCTCGCTCGGGGACATGCTGTTCTCGGAAGGAGCCACGAAGTCCGGTTTTCCCGGGGGGACGTTGACAGCGGTGACAATGAGAAGAATTTGGTTGGCCAGAGTGGATGCCGTTTTCCGGAAGGAGAGGTTTCAGAGGAAAAAGGTGGCAAGGGCGGCAATTTATGATTTTATGCGTCACGCGAGGCTGTACAGAGCGGAAAAGTTAAGGAAGGCAGCAAAGAACAGGAACATGCAAGGACAGGTATTGGACCCGTGGGGGGGTCTGGCAGGAGACGAACGAGCGGCAATCGCAAGGATAAGCGAGGCAGGGGTGCAAGCCACATGGAAGGTGGAATTTCTCTCCGTTTGGCAGAACCCCAAAACCTTCCACCGGCCGCCGTAAACGTGGTCAGGGGGGAGGCATCTTAGCTAAGGCTGGGATGTTGCTGTCCCCTCTGGAATCCAGATACGACTGCGAATGTATATGCATTGTTATAGTGCACTTGCGTTCAAAAAAAAAAAAAAAAAAAGATAATATTCTTGTAAATTTAGTACGTATATACCTTAGAATCATAACACTACACAACAATACCATACTTTAGAGTACGCCGAGGCAGGCATTTACACCAGTCATATACGGTAATGAGCTGCTATTTCCTTAATAACCCCGTATAATTCAACGCAGCAGAATTGCACAGTTGTAGTTTCTTCATCTAGCTTCGCGACTGCACGCACCACAAAAAGTGGGGGGGGGGGGGGGATTATGTTACAATTGAAAAATCACTGAAGGCCTTCCGTACCACCTCGTTAAATATGTCGCGTTAATGTGACGACTGCCTGATATTATGATATAGACCCTGATATTGAGAGATTATGAAGAGATGTCAAATGTTGAAATAACCGAAATGCTACCGTATTCTCCCGGACAAAACACCCTGAGGAAAGTAGAACGAGAAGAGTGGACTAAGGAATAGAAGTGATACAAATGTGCAACCCTAGAAATGTGTATCCCATATAGGCTACCCCACTATAGCCTACACAATATTATAATTTGACACACCCCCATAGGCAAAGTGGGGGAGAACAAGGGGTCACAAGACCAGTCAAGCAAAGCAGACAAAGCTCAGGGTGGATCACAACGTCACCACACAGTCCGAGCACAAGGTCAAGGCCACAAGGCCAGTTCACATGCAGGAGTACACATATATATATATAAGGCCAAACAAGCAAGAGCAGGTATATATATATGTAAGAGTACAAGCAAGATCAAGGGGTGAGCAAGTGAGGCAAGACAGGCACAAGACCCAGTTGAGTGCAGAAGCGCTGATGATCACAAGGCGGAAGTGCCTTGGTGAAAACATCAGCAGTGTTGGCCTTAGAGGCCACGTACGCAAGTCGCAACTGACCACGCTGCTGCAACTCACGAGCAAGAAAGTAGCGGAGAGCAATGTGCTTCGTTCTGTGCTCCAGGCGCTGCTCCCGACACAAGGCCAGCATGGCCTTGTTGTCTACGTACAGCACTGGAGGAGAACGAGGCGGCTCTCCGAGGTCAGTCAGCAGGTAGGTGAGCCAGCGAAGCTCCTGTGCAGCCATGGCCCCGGCGTAGATCTCAGCCCCACAACTGGAGCCGAGAACAGAAGACGAGCGAGTAGCCCGCCACGAAACAGAGCCGGAACCAAGACTGAAGGTGTAACCCTGTGAGGACCGCCGCGTAGCCTGGTCGTCAGCCCAAGAAGCGTCCGCGTGCCCAGTGAGGACCACTGGACTCCGCCCTCCAAGCACTAGCCCCATGCCCGACGTACTGCACAAGTAGCGCAACACCCTCTTCGCTGCAGCCATGTGCTTTGGTCTGTGTCTCCCAGGAGCAACATAGCGTGCAAGAATGCTAAGAGGGTATGCAAGGTCAGGTCGTGTGCAGGTCATCAGGTACATGAGGCAGCCAACAAGCTCTGGGTACGGGCCACTCGACTCAACGGACTCATCCGAAGGCAGAGCTGAGAGCGAGTGGCGAGTAGACAGAGGAGTGGCTTGAGGCGAGGAGTACGTGAAGCCGAAGCGCTGAAGGACCTGCTGCACCATGTGTGACTGAGTCAAGGTAATGGTGCGGCGTGCTCTGTCCTGGGTGATCTGTAAGCCAAGGTAGCTGCGCAGTTCACCCAGGTCTGTGCACGTGTGTCTCTTCTGCAGCTCGGACTTCACGTGGGCGAGTCCAGCAGTGTCAGCTGTGGCAAAAACCAAGTCGTCAACGTACACGAGGATGTAGAACGGCTGCGGAGAGGTGTCGGTGCGCAGAAACAGCGACGGGTCAACAGTGGAGGGAGCAAACCCAAGAGCCGCTAGCATAGTCCTCAGTGTGTCGTGCCACTCGCGCGGTGCCTGGCGGAGACCGTAGACTGGCCGTCGGAGGCTCCACTAGGTGCCAAGAGGGAAAGTCCCAGTGAAGCCAGGTGGACGGCGCAGCCAGATCTCCTCGTGCAGGCTACCCTGCAGGAAAGCAGTGCTGAAGTCAAGGGAGTGAAGCTCGTAGTCACGCTGAGCGGCTATGTGTAGCAGCACCTGAAGAGTGGTCATCTTCGGGGTGGGAGAGAAGGTCTGAAAGTAGTCAACTCCCTGCCGCTGACTGAAGCCACGAGCCACGTACCGCGCCTTGAAGACAGGTGGAGAGCCCGGCGGCCGCTTCACCCTGAAGATCCACATGCCACTGACGATGTTCGCCCCCGGAGGAGGAACCGCGTCAACGTAGGTGCCTGTGGACTTCCAGGAAGCCATCTCTGCATCCATAGCTGCCTGCCACTAAGAGGAGTAGGGACCCTCTACGGCCTCCGCGTAAGAGCGCGGAGTCGGGATGTCAAGTGCATCCGGGTCTCCCTCAGGGGTAAGCAGTACGGACGCGAGATGAGGTGAAGCAGCAGCCAGACACTGGAACTCCTCCTGCCTGTCCTCAAGGACGTCCGTACCAAGAGCACACTCACCCCCGACGGACGGAGGACAGACAGACGCAGACTCAGCAACAAGACTAGCACCGTAGTCTGGACGACAGCGAGCAGCAAAGTCGACGAGCTCAGCAACAAGAGCTGACGCAGCAGTGGACTCAAAGGAGGGGTCAGTGACGACAGTAGCAAGGAGACGCGTGACAATAGGACTGGCAGCACGAAGAGAGTCCGACTCAGGGTCGGCAAGCACAGGAAGAGAGGACTCAGGAGAAGAGGGCAAAGGGGCACGCAGAGGAGCAGTGGACGGACGCAGAGACATCCGGTGCGTGCCAGGGACAGGATGAGGACGCTGACGCGAACTGCGACTATTAGTGCGAGCAGCACGAACAGGCGACGCTGACGCGAACATGCGTTGAAGATGTTACAATCGAAAAATCACTGAAGGCCTTCCGTATCACCTCGTTAAATATGTCGCGTTAATGTGACGACCGCCTGATATTATGATATAGACCCTGGTATAGAGAGATTATGAAGAGATGTTAAGTGTTGAAAGAACCGAAAGGTTACCGTATTCTCTTGGACAAAACACCCCCCCATGATAGTACACCCCCAGGTAGCTTGTGTCAGATTTGTATGACATAGCTGTTGTAGGCTATAATGGGGTAGCACAAATGGGGTACAGCTTTCTAGGGTTGTATTTGAACCCAACTTTCACCTAGTCATTTCATTCTCGTTCCAACTTTCTCATGGTATCGAGCAGGTTCCCTAGTGGGAACTGTGCCTAGGGCCCACCACATCGAATTTTTTTTTTCCTGCCTGGAGCGCGCTCCCCGAGTCGCGCTCCCCTCTCTGCCGTCGTCGAGCCGCCCTAGCGGCCACGTCCGGTCGCCCCTAGCGGCCTCCCTTTCGGCGCCCTTCACGGCCCGTCGCCACCCTAAGCGGCCCGTCGCCGCCCTCACTTGCGGCCCCACCGCCCTCACTTGCGGCCCCGTCGCCGCCCTCAGTTGCGGCCCGTCGCCGCCCTCCCCTGCGGCCCCGCCGCCCTCACTTGCGGCCCCGCCGCCCTCAGTTGCGGCCCCGCCGCCGCCCTCAGTTGCGGCCCGTCGCCGCCCTCACTTGCGGCCCCGTCGCCCTCACTTGCGGCCCCGCCGCCCTCAGTTGCGGCCCCGTCGACGCCCTCAGTTGCGGCCCCGTCGCCTCCCTCAGTTGCGGCCCGTCGCCGCCCTCACCTGCGGCCCCGTCGCCCTCACTTGCGGCCCCGCCGCCCTCAGTTGCTGCCCCGTCGCCGCCCTCAGTTGCGGCCCGTCGCCGCCCTCACCTGCGGCCCCGCCGCCCTCACCTACGGCCCCGCCACCCTCACCTGCGGCCCCGCCGCCCTCACCTGCGGCCCCGCCGCCCTCCCTTGCGGCCCCGCCGCCCTCACCTGCGGCCCCACCGCCCTCCACCAAGGCCCCGTCGCCCTCACCTGCGGCTCCGCCGCCCTTACTTGCGGCCCCGTCAACTGGTGCAGCGCCGCCCGCCACCCAAGCTGCCCAAGCCGCCTCATCCAGCCGAGCCGCCGATCGCCGCGCCGCCCTGCAGCAGCACAACCGAGCCGCCCAGCAGCAGAGCAGCCGAGCCGCCGAGCCGCACTGTAGCCGAGCCGCCGTGCATCCGAGCCGCCGAACCGCCGAGCCGCCAAGCCGCCCAGCAGCCGAGCCGCCGAGCCGCCCAGCAGCCGAGCCGCCGAGCCGCCCTACCGCCGAGCTGCCCGAGCAGCCCTGTCCGGTGAGCACAGCGCCTCTATCACTGCACTGCCCTTTCCCTACTGCTTGCACTACTAGTCTACTGTTGTCATGGCTACCCCTAGTGTCCTCGCTTTTGACGGTGAGGGTCGAGCCATTGACTTTGAAGTCTGGGTCGACGACCTGCAGCTGTTCTTACAGTGCGATAGGGCAGACGGTCTCTCTCTCTTTGACCTCACCTCTCGCGCCTCTCCTGCCCCTGCTGCTGATGCCGACGCCACTGTTCACTCCCAGTGGGCCACGCGCGACGCTGCTGCACGTCTTGCTGTGCGTCGCCACCTGCCTACCACTGAGCGCGCGCACTTTAGTCAGTACAAGAGTGCTCAGACCTTGTACGACGCTGTAGTTGCGCGCTACTCTTCCCCTGCCACCGCTGCACTGAGCCGCCTCATGCTACCGTACCTCTTCCCTGACCTTGCTGCCTTTCCCACAGTTGCTGACCTCATTACGCACCTCCGCACTAGTGACACTCGCTACCGCGCCGCGCTTCCTGCTGAGTTCTGCGCCAAGAACCCCCCCCACATGTACATCACTCTCTATTATATAGTCATACGCCTCCCTGACTCCCTTCGCGTAGTCAGGGACCACTTCCTCTCAGTCTGTCCCACCACTCTCACTGTTGACCTCCTAGAGAAGGCTCTCCTAGCAGCGAAGAAGAGCATAGTCGCTGTAGGAGCCTCTCGTGG